CAGCAACAGTGCTGGGGTCACCTTCTTCTGGGCCACGATCTGGAAGTCAGAGGCTCAGGGAGGGGTCCGCACCTGCTCCCCTGAGGACCCTAACCCCGCCCTGGGTCCCCTGTCTCCTCAATGCCCCCACTCACCCTCGACGGCCAGGTTCCCCAAACTCAGCCCGTGGCCCTCGCCCTCTCTCGCTCCACCGGGCCCTCAGCTCGGCACACCTCACTGCCTCCTAGGCGCTCCCACCGCCCACGCATCAGGTGAGGAAAGGACGCTCGGGGAGGAGGGAGACTGCTCAGAGTCACGCTGGTGAGCGCACGTGTGCAACCTGCAGCAGAAGCCGCGCCCTGAGAACCCATCACCCTCCACGGACCAGGCCGAGGACAGCGCAGCCCCTACCGCAGCCCAAGGCCAGCGAGCGAGCGGCCGTGGGGGTTCCCAGCCCCATCCAGGACCCCCAGGCTGCTCCCTCCCTGGGGTCACAGCCCCCTGCCCAGGCCTCGCTCTCCTCTCAGCAATCCCCCCGGGGGCTGCATTCCTCCCTGGGCTATGAGCCCCTGACTGGGCTAAGAGTTGACCCGGGAATGCCGCGTGCAGCCAGCAACATCGGCTCACCAGGGGCAGCTCTCAGACCGGTCTGCAAACAAGATAGAGGACGACCACCCTCACGGCTGCTGGAGGACCGGGGACTTTTTACGTGTGGGGACCGGCCCTCCCGCTGGCCAGCGAGTCCTCAGCTGTGGCCGTGGTGGCTGAGGGCAGGGTTGACCCTCTTCGCTCTGCCCCACACAGGCTCCTGTCTGACAAGCTGAGACGGACGGACAGAGGACCCCCCCGCCCCCAACAGGATGTGCCTGGCTAACAGCTCAGAGCACACAGGAACATTCTGTGCACGAGAAACCCATCCCAGGTGGGGGAAGCGGAGGCCAAAAAGGGCCACGTGCCAGGCCCCCCAGATCCTCCCATTTGCAGACTCACTTCTGGGCTCTCCTGATTGATGGGATAGTTGGTTTAGCTGGTTTGATAAGTGACCATGCTTCCTGTGAGCCCCTCAGCTCCCACAGAGGTGGCCTTGTCACGGTCCCCATTTCCCAGATGAGGAAGCAGAGCTCAGGGACTCGCTCAAGGGCGCACCACTGGAATCTGAAGACAGGGTCCTGGCCTTTGGCCACTGACAGTAGCGCCCCTGACGGCCCCACACACCTGGCAGTCCTGGCGGGGCCTTTGCCTAAAGTTTAGGTGTTATGTCCAGATGTGTGTCCATACATGTAGCTGTGTATCCATGGATCTGCACCCACATGTGCACGCATGTTCGTCCATGCATGCATGCCGATACACGTGTGTCTGTGCATGTGTGTCGCTGTGTGTTGTCCTCTTCCACACTCAGGAGGGCAGGTAAGAGGCCAACACTGGGTAGAAGCCTTCCCTGTTGCTTTCATGTGGGGCTGTGCCCTGCCTAAATCTTGGTCCTCTTATCTGATGGAAGGCTCTACCCTGCCGGCTCCGACCCAGGCAGCGATGGGGATGTCACACACAGGCTTCAGGCTGGGTAAAAGGAGTCGGACACAAATGAGAACACACTGTGTGATTCATGGACATGAACTTCTAGAACAGGCAAAACTATTGGGGGAGGGGATTGAGAGGAACAGGGGACCTGCTGGATGACAAAAATGTCCTGTGTGATCTGGGTGATGGTCAGGTGTATACAACTGTCTAAGCCCATCAATCCCAACCCTCAAGGTCTACACATCTTACTGTGTGTAAATTAAACCTCAATAAAAAACAAGCACTCCCAGAGCACTCAAGAGAATCTAATGTGTGACACATTGAGTGTTTGGCTCAGAGCCTGCGCTAAGCAGTCTGGCTGGTGGCTGGTGGCTGGTGGCTGGTGGCAAGAGCTCCTGTTACACTGACGACGGTAGAGCTAATTGGGAATGACCTCACCAGAGCATGCAGTGTCCCTCAGGTGGCAGCTGGACCTCAGACCGGTCACTGCCATGGGGAGAGACAAGGGAAGGGCTCCCTTATGTCATGGAAGTGAAAAAAAAGCAAACTGCAGAACAGTATATGCCATTTGTGTTTTTAAAAGTATATCTACAGAGAAAAAACTATGTTCCTTTGCTCAGTTAAGAATAAATCTCTCCAGAAGGATGTAACGAACCTGGGGATGGGGCACGAAGGGAATATGTGGTCCAGGGTATACCTGTTATACTTTCTGAATTTAGATCCATATGAACGTATCACCCAGTTCAAAATTACATTTTTTTAAGTAAAAAAATTTTTAAGAGAAGGAGCTATGGAGTCAGAGCAGCTGGTACACGGTCTGTGTGTAATCACGCTCTCCCCAGGCCACCACTGCCATTGCACCGGCCCTCAGGACCAGCTGAGGTCTCCATGCTGCCCTCCTCCCTCTCCCTCCCAAGGGGACGGGCGCCCACCTGCCCCGAGGTGCACTCCATGCCCCCCAGAAGTCGTCATCCTGGCAGCTGAGGCTGCTGGGCCTGTGGGTGTTGTAGACCTCAAAGCACAGCTTCTGCACCTCCTCAAAGTAGTCCAGTGTGAAGACCTTGGAGAAGACCAGATGCAGGCTGCTCCGGACCACCTCGGTTCTGTCCACCTGCAAGCAGCCCTGGGTGAGCAGACCCCCAGGCTGGGGGTGGGATCTGTCCACCTGAGCACTCCCCGAGGCCCTGTGCCCCGGCTCTAGCCCTCAGGGTCCCCCCCTCTCCCACCCATCTGCCCTCGGGTGGTCCTGAAGGACTTGCTTCCAGGCCCTGCTGTGGGAAGACAACCCCTACCCCTCGCCCTGCCTGCCACCTGCTGCTGCCAGGTATCTGGACGCCCCAGGGGGGCATTGCCCAACCCCTGGGCACCTCCCTCCCTGAGATAAAGGCAGTCCTCTGGCCTCCACAGAGGGCCTTCTCATCCCCACAGCCTGCTCCATCCCCACACCACGGATGGGCAGGCAGGCTTAGAGGGGAGGGGGTGTCCAAGGGCCTTTATGAGGTCACTCACTCAGCAGAGGGATTCCACCTGGACCCCAGTCTCCACCCAGAACCCAGTACTCTCACCTCCCTTGACCCTCCAGGCCCCAGGTGTCTGCAGCTTTGCTGCACCAACCCCTCCCCTCACATGTTGGCAGGGCCGCCCGAGGCCCTGTGAAGTCAGTCAGGACACCTGCCCAGGGCCAGATGGAACAAGGGACACTGTCCAAGTCTGGCTGTCCCCCTCCTGGGTTCCCCTGACCAGGAGCCACTCTGCACAGGGCTGGCCCTGGGCACCCAATACTGCTGCTCCCAGGATGGTGGCCTGCTTCCCTGGGGGAGTGAAATCTTTCATAACCCAACCTCAGCCCGCCATCCTTCACTTCTGTTCCACTCAGGCAGAAGCAAGCTGCTGGGTCCAGCCCACACTTCACAGACAGCACAGACAAGGGCACAAAGGTGGGACCTCGGGCCAGGGCAGGAGGGGGAGACCATGAGGACAGCTGCCCCAAGTCCCCGAAGGGGTGATGGCAGTGCAGCCAGGGAGGCAGGTGGCAGCAGTGTCCACCGGGTGGGCCGTCCAGCTGATGGAGGCCTGGTTTTACCTGTGCCTGGCTCATCTGGGGGCTATGAGGATACCCTTGGCAGGAGCCTCCTGGATGGTGCGCCCAGCCCCCTCCACCCTCAGTCCCTTTCAACAGTGACCCAGCTTTACCTCCTCTGCTGGAGGCACCATCCTTCCTGGGGAAATTTTCAAAGGGCAGGAACTAACCACGCACTGTTTCATCAGTTCGTCCCCCAGCACTGTGCAACTAGGGCTTACAAAGGAGGGGAGCCCAGCTGAGGCACCACAGTTGGAGGGTGGGGACCAAGGCCTAACACACACCTTCCCACTGCCCGTCAGGTCCTCAGGCTCCCCAGATGTAACCCCCGAGAAAGCTCTGAGCCGTTCCCAGGAGGGTGGGACCAGAGATGAATCTGGAAGGCCAGCCCTCTCTTCCTGGGCTGCAGGCCTTCACCAGGCCCTGGACCATGGTCCTCCCATTGAGCAGTCCTCACTGCTACCCAAGGCTGACACGCACCCAACACGCTACAGTGAGAGCCAGAGATCTTTGAGGAAGAAACCTCCACAAAGGTAAGATAGTTTGTTTTGGTTACTGCCATGTCCCTGCAGCCTGGGACTGTGCCTGGCACAAAGCAGATACTCAATAACTACTTGAACGAGTGCCCTTTCTCTCTTCATCGATTTGTTCTTAAACAATGCCCCGCACATCACTTTCTACCTTCCCTGGCCCACCCACACCTGCTCCATCATCAGCTTCCACCGTCCAGGTCCCCAGGACCGTCATGCCAGGCAGGCCCTGGGCCAGAGGTGAGTCAGCTCATTCAATTTTCTCTGGTCTAGTTCTAAGCAACTGAGAACTGATTCTACCTGAGGGAACAAAAAAGAACAAGGACACTGGGAAATGCCTGGAATTGGGCATGAACCCCAGCCTGGACAGAGGCTGGGGTTAGGAAAGGGAGGTCGTTACCTCGCCTCTCCTCTGGACATTTTGTGACGTGAAGACTCTATTTTCCTCCTGTAACACCCAGAAAACATACAAGGAAAAAAATGGCAAGTGCAACCACCTACGTGAGACATCAAGAAAAGAGGATTGTTCGCCCTTTGCACAGCTGCCCCTTAGTCTACTCTTTGGCTTGAACCAAGTTGAGTAAAGTGGGAAAAAAACCTAAATAACCTAAAATGACTATAGTTTCCCTGTAAACTACAACAATTTGAATCAACTGGGAATTAGAATTTCAATTTTTTAGAAAAATATCACAATTATCTACATTTTAACAAAGCAACTACAAGATACAAAATCAAATTAAAATTCACTCTGGAGGGGTGACACTCCCATGGGTTAAAATGCAGAGATGTATACCTTCCCTCCAAAATAAAAAATACCACGTAACTTGAACATTAAACAAAAATTATTTGTAACTACCCAGACCGACGCTAGTCTCCTACAAACGCCCCAGCACTCCCTGGTGGCCACGACAGGCACTGGGGGTGACACCAGCACGCGTACTTTGGTTATCTGTCCAGGAGATGCACCTACAACCCACAAACAGTTCTGCCCAGATGGACACTGGCACAGTAGACCCCGGCCCCGCACACCCAGCCAGAGGCCTCTCTGCGCCCCTGCCTGTGAGCACCTCAGCTGGGGCTCCAGCTGATGGGCAGCTACCCCGCCCTCGGGTAGCTGAACTCCTTGCCAGGTCTCTGAGCACAAAGCAAATGAACCAGCGTCTCCAGGCTGTCCAGAGGCAACCCCCCATGTGCCCTCTCTCACAGATGGCTCATCAGGCTCCAACCACCAGGCCTCCACACCAGCTGACCTCTCTAAGGGTCATGACTTCCAAATACACAAAGTGAGCACGGACGTCAAATCAGTACCTCATAAACTGTTAGTTTTAGAGATGAGAACAGTGGTTTAATAGTCCTCCAAACTGCCTGAGGTAGTTGATACCGAATGCACAGCACCTGAAGGGGTGGAGGGTTCCGACAAGGAAACTCACTAAGCACCAGCCTCCCAGGCCCCGAACCTGCTCCCCTCACAGCGGGCCTGCTGCGACGAGGGACAAGGACGTGCTCCAGGTTCCCCTCAAGGAGGCGGCTCCCCAGGCCCCAGTTCCTTACACAACGAAGGTCACATGGACACTGCAGGTTTATCACAAGTTGCCAACAGCACTTTATTTTTTCTTTTCAACATCCTGCTCTGCAGCTTCCTTGGCCCTTTTTGCCCGGATGCCAAAGAGCCGGGCGTTGGCACGGGCCATGCGGAGACTGGCGAAGGCCTTGAAGTTCTTCTCTTCATCTGTGATGACTCTGGCTTTCTCCTTCTTGTAGACCTGGAAGGGAGCACAGGCCCAGGAGCAGCTGTCAGCAAACTGAGAGGCCTTGGAGGGGCATCTGCCCACTCAAGAAAGGCTACAGGGGAGGCCACCAAAAGGTTATAACAATCCCCTGTGGATTTAAAACAACCCCAAGTCATGTGAAAGGTGGGCGAGGCACTATGCTTGGACAGGACCTGGAGAAGGGGAGGCTCAGGCCCACGCCCCACTCACAGGAGCCTCAAGGGCCTGGTCAATTGCCACTCAGGTTACAGGATCACCAAACACCCAGAGTTGCCTACAGCCTGGCCTTTCCAAATAGCGAGGAGAGAAAAAGGACCCAACAGAGGGGGTGGTGGCAAGTAAGCGTCCACAAAGTTTCCCTCAAGGAGTCCGTCTGTTAAGATGCAGGAGGCTCTCTCCAGGGCGGAAGGAAGGTCCTTTCCACAAACTTGTAAATCTCAACATGGGCCCCAGATGACAGGCTGACTCCCTCCAACCCAACCCCCACCCTGTCATTCAGTTGCTCCCTCCAAACATGCCCACTTACGTTCCGTATGGGCATGACTGGTCCGGTCAGCTGGGTGGCCAATTTGAGCTCTTCAGCCTGTGTGCAGTGAGAAGGGAGTTAGGTGGGTTCAGCTCATCTGCCCAAGCCTGTAACCCCTGGCTGGGTGTCTGCCGATGGATTCCTGTCCATCTAACCGATGGATTCCTGTCCGTCTAACCGATGGCAGGCACAGGCAGATGAAAAAGCGCCAACCGCGTGTGAAGCAGAGACGCAGGTAGAACAACTCTCAGAAGCCCATACGGACGGACTGTTAATTTCACACATAGGTCAGTAACAGGAAAAACACTTTCCCAATTCTAAAACAGCTGGCTCCAAGTCCCACGGCGAATCTCGGCAGTCCTAGCGATTAGTCTGTAGATTCTCAGAGGCTTTCTTCTAGTTATCTACCAACTCTCTACTACCCCGCATGAAGACCCGGTTTGGGGGGATAAAAAGCTACAGACAAATCCGTGTTCTTCCCAACCCAGCTAAACCCACAGCGAGACCTCCACGCCCTCACCCGGCTGGGCACAGAGGAACCCCGGCACTCACAGAGCTGTCTCCCTTCTTGGGGGCCGAGGGCTTCCTGGGGAAGAGGATGAGCTTGGAGCGGTACTCCTTGAGCCGCTGCACGTTGGCCTGCAGGGACTCCGTGCACTTGTTCCGCCGCCTCGGGTCCACCGAGATCCCAATGGTCCGGGCCACCTTTTTGTGGATGCCGGCCACCTGCCCCGAGACAGACAGAGATGAAGACCCGAGGGCTCCCCGGTCCCCACCCCCTGCTGGGAAAGCCCAGCCGTCAGATGGAAAAGGGTTCAAGCGCACTTTCATCACAGCGGTGCAGCGATTCCGGAGAATGTCATCACTTGGCTGTGGGCCACGAGGGGCAACCCGTGGAACTCAGGACGCGGGCTGGCGACACTCACCCTCAGCTCCTCCAGGCTGAAGCCCCTGCCGGCGCGCACCTTGGTGTGGTACCTGACCGTGGGGCATCTCACCACCGGCCGGAGCGGGCCGGACGCGGGGCGCGGGGCGATGCGGCGCGCCTTGGCCTGCCGGGCCTTGCGTCTGCGCAGACAGAAGCCGAGCGGCGGTCACCGGCCGCCCCTCCCGCAGCGGGCCGGGCGCGCGAGTCCCGGCCGCCCTCCGCGCGCGGGTAGAGAAGGGGGGCGCGCTCGCCTCGGGGAGGCTCACCTGCGTATCTTGCGCGCCGGCTGGTTGAACCACGTCGCCACGCGCCGCTGCCAGTCCTTGTGGAAGTGGGGCTTCAGGATCATGCCATTCCGGCTGGGCGCCATGGCTGAGGCCGACTGGCCTGGGGAGCAGGGAGGACGCGGAGAAAATTAGGGCCCGGGAGCGGTGGCCCGCCGGCGCGCGCACAGAGCCCAGGCCACGGCCCGACGCCGACGGCGGCAGGTGGACCCCGGGGACGATAGATGGGTCCGGATGGTGTCGGATAGCAGCGACAGCACCGCGCTTGGGTGTACTCACCTCCTCCGCGGGTTCACGGACGCGGAAAGGAAAGGGAACTCCAGAGCACCCTGGGATGGTACTGGGCCCGGCCAATCAGAAGCGACGGAGCGTTCTGACCAATCAGAGCCAGGGCCTCCGAGTGACGTAAGGCCCCACCCCCACCCCCGGCGGCCCTATTTGCGCGGACATGGCGCCGTGTTTCCCGTGCTACGGGAGTTCCGCGCTACCGGAGTCCCGCGCTCCCGCGACCCGGGTCCGCGGACGGTCTGGGTCCCGCGAAGCCCGGGCCGGCCGGCCGGCCTGCTCATGCACCACGGTAGGCCTCGCCCTCCGCGACCTGGTCTGCGGCCCCGGCCACCACGTGGAGCCTGCTTGCCCTCCCTGTGGGCGGAGCACACACTTAGGAGCGGGCCTTCCAGAGCGCCCTGCGCGTGTCGCACGGAGGTCTGCGGTCGGGCCGTTGGTGGCGAGTACCCGGCAGCGAGTGTGGAACTAAGAACCGCGTGGCGGATCGCGGCTGTCCCGCGCTCCGCTGTGCACACTGCCACCCACGCAGCTGAGCGTCGTGAAAACACCAAGTAGCCAGGCCACCTGGGCTGTGGCGCCTCCAGTTCCCGGGACAACCTGGGATGATGCCAACACATCCTGCCATCTTAAGCCTTGACACCCAGCAACCCCTTTACGTTCCCAGCCTCACCCCAGTCACCAAGCTTCCTCCCCTGAAACCTAATCAACGTTTTATGAATTTCATGACACAAAATAAGAAATTTGGAGGCCTGTGTCCTACACTGAGTAAACAGCTGATACTAATGCTGATAGCTTTCTACCCTATTGAG